TGAGTTTCTCACCAAATTGGTAAAAGACCCGATAGAAAGTTGAGAGAGAAGGTTGGAGCAATCAAGAGTGTTGATGTTTGAAAGGAGTAGAGATCGAGATGTCGACGAGCTCGATAAGATTGATCGATGAGAGAGAATAGTGACAGCAAGTAGAAAGTGAGAGAGATGAGGATTTGAATGCGGAAGGGGAAGTTGATGATGAGGTTGTGAGGAGAAATGGTGAAGAGTCGAAAGTGAAGGAGACGACGAGTTGAGCGCTAGTTGATGTGGAAGAGGATCGATATGTTGGAGTCGATTGGAGAGCAGCTGAGGAATGATTCTGGATGTTGGAGGGAGCGGTTTTTAAGTGGTTTGAGAGGATCGGTTGACTTGTGGTTCATGTCGTTGATTCTTGAGGAAGTGATCGAGTTGTGGTTTGTTGTAGATGGTTCGACGACTGAGGGATGGATAACGAAGAGTTTTGAGAAGAATTAAGAAGAAGAGGGAAGTAAGAAAGATAGAGTGGAAGAAGGGGAAGGAACGAGAGAGATAGAGAGCGGAGAGAGAGAGAGAGAGCGGAGAGCGGAAAAGAAAGAACCGGCAGTAGCGAGTGGAGAGAATTCCAACACTAACATGTAGCGTAGTGTTAGCGCAAATCTGAAAATTTGCACTAACACTACGCACGCAGGGTGCCAGTGGGTGTTAGCTGTTAGTGTAGTGTTAGCTTTATTTCACTCATCCACACTAACACTACGCCCATGGGGCGCAAAAAAGCGTCCGCTACACCAAGCTACAGCGCTTTTTAGCGGTTTTTTGGCCTTTTTTGCCGCTAACAGCGCTGTAGCGTAGTGTAACGCAGCGTAGTGGCTTTAGCGGTGCGCTAACACTACCCAAAAAAAGGTGTGTTGTTAGCGCCACTAAAAGTTAGTGTAGCGTAGTGGGCTGTAGCGCAAACTAACACTACACAAAAAAAGGTTGCTGCAACAGCAGCTACGCCAACGCTAAATGGCCATTTAGCGTAGCGTAGCGGCCCACCGTTGTTGTACGGTCAAGGCTCCGTTCTTCCCATGCCACCTCAGGGTGAAAGTGGGTCGGGTCGACCCGGAAGTGACCCGTGACCCGTCGGGTCGGCTTTATGTAAAAAAAAAATATCTGACCCGACCCAAGTGTGACCCGCTTGATTACCGGGCCGGGACGGGCAGCAAGTTTTGATTTTGAGTCGGCCCAAAAACCCCACTACCGACCCGCTTAAGGGAAGTCAGGGACTCTGGTGACCTCTGGTCCGTGGGTTGCCATTGCGCCAAGAAACTTCAGAATCCTTGCAAGTCGCCGCTTGGAAATCTTTCTTCGATTGGTCATCAATACATACAAGACTACGACTCACGAACGATCTTCGAAGGATGCTTAGCCTTCGATCACATCCTCATAGGCTTGTAGGCTTGTACGCCATCGGCATCCCATCGACCTCAGGAATCAGGATCGTACGATTGAATAAAGTAAAATACACAATAAGTTACAGAAATTGTTCTTTTTCTAAAAACCTGCCCCAAGCCTGACCCGGAAAGTGAACTGCGACCCAACCCAACCCGACCCTGACCCGCCTGCTCCCCTAGGTGGGTCGGGTTCGGGCAGCAATATTGACTGTATGACCCAGCCCGACCCGACCCGACGCTTTTACCGGGTCGGGTCTGGGCACTGTTTTTTGACCCGAACCCGACCCGGTTTCATCCTGAATGCCACCCAACTACATCAAAGGATCATGCTGGACCTTGGCATTGGTGAGGTGTCTCAGCCCAAAACATCCTGAAAGTCAACCTTGAGCAATTTTGGTTGAAGTCAACAAATTCAGTCTCAGAATGGATGGTCTTTGGGCGGAAGAGAAACCCTATATTGTGGAGAAAACTTGGGAGGAATGAATAGATTTTAGAGAGCAGTAAGCTGCATCATTGTCTCTCTCTTGTTGTCGTAGAACTCATTTTCAGTTGATCAATCCATTCTCTATTCCACACGTGCAGGCTTCTTTCTCACTATCCAGAAATTGAATCCATTTTGCCCAAGCTTTCCAAAGGGCAAGGCTTTCTGGAATCAATCTTTACCAACTCCAAACAAAACCAAAATACTCGGGCCTCAAATTTGAAAGAGCTGAACAGTTTCCTAAACTGTCTGGTTGGAAAGTGTCCCAAGAAAGTCCTTAATTCCAGCATCATGCACGCTTTTCTTCAAACAGAACAGATGTTATTAGGGGCTCATCAGGTGGAATACACCGACGATGAACCACCCTTGTGCAGAATACCACTGTCTGCAGAGGTACCAAGCCGGGAAGAAGGAACTGCCATCTCTTCTCATTTGAAAACCTATCAATTCCCTGAGCCTGCGCAATCAAATCCTCCACATCAGTTACGAACAAGAATTTCTCAGCCCAATCTTGCTTCACAACAAATGGCACTAGGTCCCGAAGTCGAGAAACCATCCTATGGCGGTCATGTACCCGCTCGTCGTGAGGAACCCCTCCCGACAAGAGGGTATTTATCCCAGCTTTTCAGGAGGAATCCCTCCCGGCAAGCTGATACACAATCCAGCTCTCCGGGAGGGATCCCTCCCGACAAAATGGTGCACATACCAGCTTGTCGGAGGGGATTCCTTCCAACGAACTGGTGTACATAGCCTCTCGTTGGGAGGAACCCCTCCTGACGGTGTGGCCTCTGCCTCTCTAGGCCAAGGGGGGAGGGTTTTTTTTTAAAAAAACATTCCCTGCTGGAGGGTTATCCTTCCAGCCAGCGATAGTTGACCTGTAAAAGGGCGGGTATCCGCGGATATCTGCACGGATACCCGCCTGCGGATGCGGATGCGTGATTCCGCTGAAATCTTGAGCGGATATCTGCATTCGCGTGGATATCCGGATTCAACACGACCATCTCTAACACTTTCCTCTATCTGCATTACTAGCCTTATAAGTTACTTATTTAACTTATAAGACTAGTACAAACCCTTTCTCTTAAATTAAATAAGCACATTCCACAGCTGTCCCTTATTTTTATAAGGAGCCAGTCCCTCCACTGTACCAGTGTTGAGTTGGACTTCATTTCCACTGGCCCTCTTGGCTATAGTGTGACCATTACCCATCAACTCCTAGTCACATAAGAGACAGGAGCTGACAATGTTGACCGCATTACTTGATCCGGGGGAGGGCCAGATCCGGTGTGTGGGAAGGAAATGAGTGGACTTGTGAGCTAAGAAGTTGAAACGGGTGGGTGGGCTAGGGGATATAAAAGGGGGTGATTCGACAATCAGAAGAGAACTGGGGAGGCAGGAGTTGAGTTGGCGATGTTTTGGAGGGTATTGATTATTTACCATTTGTCCTGAAACACATCCTGAAACTGCAAATGTGAAAATTCCTGGGGAAATGCTGCCTTCAAAAACAGAGGGTTGACACATTTCTCTGTTTTTAATTCTCTGCCCTGATCTCAATGTGCTCGAATTCATCCACTCTTTCTCTATTTTTCATTGTCCGCTCCACTCTCTCTTTCTCTCTTACCCTTCCGCTCCATTCTCTTTCTCTCTCTCTCTCTCTGTGCTCTCCTCAATCTTCTCCTATCTCTCTCCTCAATCCTTCTCTTCTTCCCACTTCTTCTCAGCCATGTCTCCAGTTTGCCATACATTTTACTCTTGCCTCCTCCAAACAGGTCAAAAAGCCTCACAACCTATCTTTCAAGACCTAACACAACCACAAGTTTAACCAACTACAAAACACTATAAATGAAGGCCTCTAACAGTCTCAAAACCTTTTTCCTCAGCAGTCTCTGACATCAGATCCACAATCAATCACTTCTCTCCTCACACAAAACTATTCCCCTTGCCTCAACTGCTTGGCCCATCTTCAACAACGCTCTCCATCACTCACACGCCACATCATTCCCTTCATCATCATTCTCCGACTTTGATTCTTTTCTTCTCTTATCCTATATTTTCTCTTGCTTCTATCCCTTCTTGCTCAATCATATTGACAACAAATTCATCTCTTCTCAACATCACTTCCTCCTCCTCTCCTCCTTGCTCCACCAATACACTCTCTTGAATTCCTCATTTGGCGATTGCCAATTTGGTGAGAAAACCTAACCAAATTTCAACTTAACTTCTTCTGACCAAAAATATTAACCTTTCTATTTCTTTTCTTGTTTGAAACCAGTGTTTATTATCTATTGCTGTTTGATCTCATTTACTTTAGTCTTTCTGTTCTGTCTAACTCAAAAGACAAACCATCTCATGGTAAATTTCTTTTCTTATTTCTTATCATTTGATTGTCCTTCTTTGAATCTTCTTTATCATTGTCAAAAACCCTAACACTTGTTTTTTCTTCTATCTTTAAAGTTCTAGTTCTAGCTTCAGTTATAATTCCTGTTTTTCATCAGGTTCTCAGAGGATCGAAAAAAAAAATTAAATAGTTGGTCACTGGTCAACAAAGCGGAAGCCTAACAGTGGGCCATAACAACCATTAGTACATTGGTTCAGTGCTGTGGTTTGTCAAACCGGTGTGGAAAGCACGGCGCGCCCTAGGAGTTTTCTTGCACTTCTCCGCTCCCGCAACGCGTCCTACTCCGGTTTCGTTGTCCGGGGTAACTTGCTTGATGGTCTTGTAGGTAGGTAAACTAGTTCTCTTTTATTGATCTTTTGTAGGTAATACACTAACTCTACTCTATCTCTAACAATTCTTTAGGCTAATACACGATTCACTCCTAAGTCACTCTGTTTTTCTGATATGTTCTGAGTCCTCCTCCCCCCCCCTCTCTCTCCTCTTCTGCCTCGAACTCCTCTCCTCCTAGGTATCCCACACTCCAGTCCCTTCCTACTTCCCGCGATGTCATCCGCTGTCACCCCTCGGGACTCCGCATGTCACCCTCCGACGCCTGTCG